AAACATGCTGCTAGCAGAATTGCCTACTCTCCCACAGACTCCCTTCTCCCTATAGACATAGGATGAAGGTAAAGCTACAGTAATACCAGACAGACAGCACTCTAGTTTTGCCCTCAAAGTTCACTGTCACATGTTGCTTCAAAACTCCTTACTTGGTGTATTTACCTGCTGTCACATGTCACAACCCATAATCAGAGCAGAAACACTTTGAAGGAGATGAGCAAAGCCTTCAAACCAATACAGACCCAGCTTGCAGAAAGAACAACAGGATCTCTTTTCACTCATTTAGACAGACACGGATGGAATAATAACTTTAGGGGTCAAGAGGTGAAGGGATTGTACAAAGTCCTACAGGAATGTAGCTCACAAAGGCACTTAATAGAAGCATGTACACAGCTGGATGGAATCAGAGATTGTAAAAATAAATAAATAAATGCACCAGAGAGGAGAGCACTGCCCAGTGACTGCCTACACAGTCTCTTCTAGCCAAAGAGCCCAGTTTCTGCAGGGCTCCATCTGTTAGTGTGTCCAAAGTTCACTCTTCTGACATCCAAAATGGCACACATAGGTACAAATCCAGGGATTCCTTAACCTTTGCAGGAACCAGTGCACTCTCTGAAGCCCAGCAGCAGGTTCCTCCTGATGCCAGTATTAACATCTAAGGGAAACTCAAGTTCTCAAAACCTTGTGCTCTTCTTGCTGTTTCCCATGGTGAAAAAAGGCAGCAGGCTCCTCCTCTCCCCACCTGCACATATGGCTTACTGCTTTCTGCATCCTATTGCTGGCTGACAGCATGTGAAGAACCATTCCACCGGGGAAAACATCTGCTGTTGTCAGTGAGGGGATAGCCCACATAATGACCACGAGGAAAGGTTGTGTGAGGAGGAGTCCTGGTGGGAGGGGCTGCTCCCCTGCTAAACAAAGTCAGTGAGCCATGACAGAACACCATCTGCAGAACGAGGGGTGTCACACGATGTCCTCGGCAGAGCGCTGTGGAGGAGAAGCCCCCAGGCTCAGGAAGTGGCCCCAGTTGCACAGGAGTCCCCTGTTATACTGGCCAGTGTCTATCACTAACCCACCCAGCAGCCTGCGCCCAGTGTTGTCCCGCAGAGCCAGCCGAGCTTCCCTCTCAGTCACGTTGTAGCTGATGTTCAACAGCTGGATAAGGAGGATGTATCCCATGCCAGCTGTTACAATGGCACAGTACCACACACAGGTGAACGACAGAGCAGAGCTGGCAGCAGGGAAAAAGATGGGAAGGAAGCCATTTAGTACAGGAGCAGCTGCTTTAAAGTGACTTTCCCTGGTAATCACTATCCTTTCAAATCCCTGTCTACATCTGCCACAGTGATCTCACTTTGCTGCTTTCATCAGATAATCCTTAAAGGCTTTCTCAAAATTAAAGCTTCAGGGTTTACTTAATGAGAGCTTTTACTGCTAGCAGAGCTACTCTTACACATTGCTGTCACAGAACCTAGCTCTTTACTCTTCGTGTTGTAATGGTGCTCAGGCCTTACTTAAGGACCCCAGGATGCTCTCACTCTACAGGTCATGAGATGGAGTAGAGGAAGGAAGAGTCACTTGAGTACTATCAGTACTCTGCCCATCTGTGGTAGTGCTGGTCTCTGAACTCATGTGCAATAGCTCCCACCACCTTCCCTGCCAGACAGAGCATGTTCTAGGCAGATAGCTTGGAGGACATTCACTAGATAAATAGTAAGGAATGAGAGGGAGAGAGAGCATGTGGATTCCAAGCTGTCAGACCATTACATGCATTGGGATGGGGCATACATATCTAAAAGTACATCTATACATAACACAATAAATACTTCAAATCCTAGCTCCTTCAACTTTTTGCACATAAATAGCGAGCTCTCTCCAAGTCTCAGGCTGCCCACCTTGGCAAAAGCAGAAACACATCTTTGCTTTCCAGAGTTTTTTAGGGAACACTTTGTGATCAGGTCTGACAACCAGCAGAATGACGAACAGGAGCTAAGCTGCCTGAGCAAGCCTGCTCCCACTGCAGCTCTCGCAGGCAGACATCTCACCTGTAGTCAGAATAGGCCCCAGGGCAGTAGAACAATGCCACAAACAGACTTCGGCCCCTACAGATGGTGTGCAGGGTCAAGGTAATCCCATACACAGAGGTGAGCATGAAGAAGGAGAGTGCAAGGATGAAAGCTTGATGGTTCTGCTCCCCTACGCAGCTGTTAATCCTCCAAAAGGAAAGAAAAGATTACTTTGCTTAAAAAAGGAAAAGAAACAGTGTTCTATTTCTTCTTCCTCCCCCAGCTGTCAGAGAACCTGATTTCCAAGGTACTTGCAGTCGACACAGGCTAAGAACTTTGAAAAATGTTCAGGGAAACTTTACAACTTTATACAGAAAGGTTACAAACACAAGACAATAGACCTGTAGGGTAACAGCAGCAGACTGTTTGCATCAAATTTTTAGCAGGGGTAGTATCCTTTGCTGAGATACATTACACCCTACTGCCCCCTTGGCTCCAGCACCACAGGAGTCCCTTGCCCCAGGAGAGCGCTAATGCAACTTAACTGCAGGATTATTAGCGCTCTACAGACTAAGTCTAAAGCAAAAAAATCAAATCCAAGAAAACCCACAGCAGAAACAATCCCAAACTGATGAAAAACAGTAGAGAAGTAAAAGCAATTCTGAAGTATGCTGTAGAAGCTTTCAGCTATCAGCTCAACCCACTTCGCATAAACAGTTATTCTAACTGTTCTTTTAAAGGGTAAATACAAAGCTTTCTGTATTTAAAGAGTGTCATAAGGTCTTGCACATAGCAAAAGCAACTCTATTTGTCAGGGACTGTAAAAAAAGAAGCTTACTTTAAAAAGGAGGGAACTGAGAGAACACGGGGAGCCTCAGCCGTGCAAAACCTACCAGACACAGTGATGGTCCAGCCTCCTCACACACCTGCCACAAAGCCGGCAGTGCCCTGCTCGGGCTGGCCTGACCAGCTGGCATTTAGTGCACCAGTCCTTTTTCACACCTGCTGGCTGCTCAGCTGACATCCTGCAATAACCTTTAGCCTCCCCATTCACAGCACGACTGCTGGCAGCACCTGAGATGCCATGGAGCCCGCTGGAGCTCCCTCTAATACTCTTGTTGTGCAAACCCTGGTGCGATGGCTTCTCGTTGCCTGCTGGGATGGGAAGGTAGCCAGGGTCCTTCTTGGCTCGAGACAGGGCTGCAAGCATAAGAATTAACCCGCACGTGAGAGTGACCATTTGGGAATGCTCCACGTGGCCCCGGGGAACCACCTCCCGGAGAAACACATAGTACATATATCCCAAGGAGAAGAGCCCCAGGCTCAAGAAGAACAGAGTCCGTTCCTTCCTCCGGTGGGTGAGGTAGTAATACCACAGTACCACAACGGGCAGGGACGTCAGGATGATGAGCCCCAGCAGGAAGTGCAGGGCGGCAACGTGGAGGAAGACAGGCAGCAGGACGAGCGGCGGCACGAGGCTGACATTGATCTTCACGGCCCCCGAGAACCAGGGGACCCGCAGCCGGTCCGCGATGGTGTCGGCGATCCTCTCCAGCGTTCCCGGGGGCAGGGATTTGCACGTCAGCCACCTGCGAGCGCGGGGAGCACAGCGCCGGCTGGCACCGGGACAGCCGCACTCCCGCCCCCTGCCCCGTCCCGCTCCCACCGCCTCCCCTCTCCCTCTCTCCCGACAAATTTCCCGGGAAGCGGGGCGCGGCTCCCCCGCCCTCAGGGCGGCAGCCCCGCGGGGACGCCGCCGCCGGGAGGGTGTCCCGCAGTCGGCGACCCCCGGGGGTCACGGAGCCGGTACCTGTCGCAGCCGTCGTCCAGCTCCTCGCAGTCGCAGCAGCACGCCGCCAGGTGGTTGCGCCGGCCGCGCCGGTCCACGTACTCGCAGCAGCAGAGGGGTTCCTCCATCGCCGCCGCCCGCCCCGTCCCGTCCCTCCCGCGGGGCCGGGAGCGGCTCCCGCCGGCGCCGCCGCCTCAGGTGCCCCGCGCGCGCCACCGCCCCCGCCCCGCGGCCCCGCCCCCGCCGCAGCGCCCGCCCGCCATTGGCCGCGCGCGCCCCGAGGTGTGCGGGGGGCGGTGCCCCCGCCCGGACCGTCCACCTGACGGCGGCGCGCGCCAATGGGCGCGCGGGGGGCGGCGCCGCCGTCACGCGGGGGCACCTGCCTTAAAGGGACAGCGCAACAGGTGGCGGCCGGGGGGGCGGCGCCGCGGGCCTGGGGCCGGGAAAAGCTGCCCCCCGCACGCCTCCACACCAACCCTGCACCCCCCTCCCCACCCCAACACCTGTGTCTGCACCACTGCCCCACAGGCTGTGCACCGCCCGAGCCAGCGCTGCCCTCCTAGTACAGCCCGAACTCGAGGGAGGGAGCCCTTGCATTTTCTGGGATTTTCTTTCTGTATTCATCTTCTTTCCCTCAACCTGCTTGGAAAACGCTTGAAGCACACGAAAGGGAGTTTCATCATCAGTGGGCACACCACGCTGAAGCACAGCCCTCGATAGAGGGAAAACACCGAGGGCTGAAATTTCTCTGGGAGAGCTGGAAACATATGGCAGAAGGCAGCCTGCCAAAGCTTGCAGTATGCAAGAGATCTCAAACCCTTTCCTGTTAATTAATCTTAGGCATTTCCATCGTTAAGATGGTGACTTCTTTCACAAGGTCCCCATGGCTAAAAAAAGCCTATGAAGATCCTGTGGCTGTGAATCCACTAACATTCTTTTTTCTCCAAAACACTCTTCACTGATGGTCATTTTCCTATGCTGACATAAAAAGCTGCAATTTCATAAGAGACAAGCCCAGTTCTCCACCAAGGGTGTTTTTCCCCTCTGAAATGTTCAGATCCATTCAGCAGCAGTACAACTGCCCTCACTCACTCACCCTGGGATGGATCCAAGAGCTCTGCACTGTTTGGAATTGAGACTCCCCAGGGAAGAAGGCTGGCAGAGAGACAAGACTGCCAAGCTATGGCAACGCAGAACCCGACTTACTTCTTCCACAAACCTTTTATTCTGTGCAACAGTAAAGAGTCCAGAGGAGACAGTTACAGTCCCTACCCCACAAGTCCTCACACACACATCTGTTCTTCCAGCATCTTGAATGAAAAGCTGATGTGGCTATTAACTCTCAGTCTTGCTGCTCTGTGTCCTGTTCAAGTGGTCAAAGCTTCTTTGGAGCATGGAAAGGGAAGTCTTCAGCTGTGAAGATACAATCCACCCCCCCACCAATTACTTAAGTCAGTCTCCTGCATGGGTGAGATATCAGGAAAATAAAGTCTCCCTCCTCATTTTCTTTTAAAGATTTCATGTGATTTCCTCCTCCCTGTTTCCATAAACAGCTTACTGTGCTCTCCTAACAGCTACACTCTGTAGAGTTTATAAATACTAACAGTCCAGGACGATAAAGTCTTAACACCTCACCAGACAACAGCACAGAAGATAAACCACTCCACTCATTTTTAGTCACAGATAATGTTCAGTGCAAATACTCCAAGGAACATGGCAGCACAACATGAATTTTCTTTTACTACCTGGCCCTCCTAGTGCATTTTGGTGCACAAAACATGTTTAGGTTATTGACAACCCTCAGAAAACATAAGGTAGCAAGCATTAAGATGCGTCAGGACTTCCAGACAAAAAGTGTTATTCTGGATGAAAAAGGTGGCTAAATTCTCACTTTTCTTTTTTTACACTGTGTGTTCAAAAAGCACTTAACACTTCAGAATTAGGAATTGTTTGAATAGTAAGCAGAGAAAATAAAAATGGCATGAAAACCAGAAAATTTCATCTCTAAAGTGAAACTTCCAGCACTTAGGCTTTTTCAAGTTGTGATCAAAGTGGTTAATTATCAGATTAATAGCAGTTGTGCAAGCAGAGACACCTCTAAATGAGGAGTGTAAGAAATGGCTTCTTTTTCTAACCTCCTTTAGCAGAGAAAATTGACATGGGTACTTTCATGGAAGAACAAAGAGCAAACAATGGAGAAAGCTACATGTGAACTCCCCTTTCAGCTTTCCTAAACTAATAATTTATTCCATCACATTTCAAGATATAATAAATGAAGTTAAAATCAGAACATTCCTGAGTAGTAAGTAAAAACTAAAGCATGAATTTACTGTCCTTCAGGTACTGAGTTGAAATTTCAGTCTAGGGATTATAAGGATTTAACAGTCATGGACTTCATGATCAGAGAGACACAACAATATTCAACTTTTTTTTTTGTCTGTAGTATACAAGAGCCTGAAATTTTAAGTTACTGTGAAGGAGGATTATATTCTGTGGAGCCTCTCAGAAACATATGTAGAAATTATTTATTTTACATTGGAGATTAGGTGGCCCCTTGATATCAATGCTACATGAAGCTCTTGCCAGTATCTAGAGGAGCAGTGGGGAACAAATGCCAGGATAAACCTGAATGAAGAAATTCCATAATAAGATGGGAAAACACTTCACAAATCTTAATCTGAGTGTTCTTAGAATCTGTTTTGAAATACTCCAGTCTTTGCTTTGTCATGATTCAGAACTGCATTAACACATCTCTTAAGCACTTGACAAGTTTAAGAAAATTGACATGGGTACTTAAATCTTAGTCAAATAAAAAACTCAAACCAACAAAAAACAAAACAAAACAAACCCACCCACAAACAAACAAACAAACCCAAACAAAAACCAACCAACCAAAAAAAAAACCAAACCCAACCCTCCAAGAAACAAATTCAAAACCAAAGCGATCTGAAACATCAGAAACATAAGCACTGCCTGTTAACTAAACTCAAGCCTGGGGCAAAACAGATCAAGAAAACTTTATCTAGCACCGGACCACATCAAGCTATGATAATACAAGGGATAAAAGATGTACAAGAACATCACCAGAATGTACAAGAACAAACATCACCAGGAAAGATTTTCAGACCTACCTGCTCAAGAATTTCAATTGAGTCTCTTAAAACTCCCTTCACATGTTTAACCTGTTCCTTATCATATTGAGGTATCTCCTCTTTTGATACAATTTCTGGGGATATGCTGAAAAAGATTGAGATTACATCAGAAACATGGAACATGCACCCCAATGCCTTTTTAAAAGCAACTGTTCTCTTCCACCATTGCTCTGCCATTGCTGAGAACATCCTCTTACAAAAGCCACATGCAAAGCTGCCTGCAGTTGAATTCCAATACCTGTTTGCTTGAAGCTAGTACCTCAGACCTTTACAGGCAACAGCCACCAAGAAAAAACTGTGCTCACATTATGTTTACACTGTAAGGTCCACACTTCAGGAAGCATGATCCTTCTTAAGAATAAAATCACTCTAACCAGTTCTGTCACTATGGGAGGTCCCCACATCCCTTCCAAACTCAAAATCAGGGTATGTTTTTTAACTTTTTTCTTGATACTGTATTCAAGAGGAAGCAATATCTTTCTGTGCCTGAGTACAAAAGGCACCTAACATGGAAGTTTGTGAAGGAGAGGAGATTTAGGAGACTCACAGAGAGAAGCTAAAAAGCTAAATGAATCTTTAACATTCCATTTGAGAACATGCTGGTTCACACAGGATGAACACTTCAGTTCTGTGATCAGCACTATGATATTCACAGAAGATGAGTCACAGCAGGCTGATAAATGCAAACTAAGGTTAACATTTCTCCCAAAACAGCTTGTCAAAGAAGAAATTTATTACTGCAAGATGCAGTCAGACATGTCCCTGGATTTCAGCATAGACCACAGAAGTACAGCAAGCCGCAGCCACTTCTGAAAACTTACCACTCAATTTCACTGTTTATAATTTATTTTTTAGATCAGATTCTCACATAAGCTGAAGAAGAAAGCAAGCAAAGATTGTGAACTCACTTCAAAGAGCTTTCCTCCTGAAGCTGGACATGATAAAGGGACTGAGCTGCATGCTCTATCTTTGAGAGTTTGAGGAACAGTGTTATATTCAGCAAGACCAAGAGCAGCAAACTGTAGATAGAGGAGAACAAAAATCAATTTTTCAACAATTTCAGTTGCAATGCTACAAATACGAGATCATGGCTAAAGACAGCTAAGGAAACAGAATCCTCCCAGCCTCCTGGGAGAAAAAAGGTGTGGGGCAGCACTATACTGAAAATTAGTACCCATCTGAACAATTCCTAGCAGTTACCATTAAACTAGGTAATAACAAAAAATAACAACAGTATCTCTTCTTGGAACTTTTAAAATTAGGAATGATTAGATTCTAGACTTTATTTTTTAATAGTATCAGACCTAAGTAAACCTGTAAGGTAGACTAGTTTGACAAGTCAGCATTTTCATCCCACATGTCATTTCCAAGTCAATCCATTCCTCTTTTATACCCCCATGTTCCACTCAAATTAGTTTATCATGCTACATGCAGTCTTAACATGAAAATGAGGAACAAATACAGATAAAAACCAAGATGAGCTTGAGTCAAGCAACACTTTAATGCAAGTGAGTACTTACAAGACACTCATTACTACAATGATGGTGGTGGTCCTACTTACTGCATCTCTTTTCCTTCCTATAGGGCATGGAAGAGAAGGAGGTTAAAAAGTACTAAAGAATATTCCTAAAGGATGTCTGCAAATAGATACATGTCAGTGCCCAGCACTTCACACAGAATAGCCCAACAACTTCTAATGGAAAAAAAATCAGGTCATGTAGGTGCATAGGACCACCTCCAACATTCACCAAGGCATTTTTGCAATCATCTCTGAGAAGCTGGCTGAACAGTTAGGCTCTTCCATCAGAATTCCCCTTACCCACTTGTGCTGGGGAGAACACAATACTGGGGCATGGGAGAACACAATACTTCAGCCTTCTCAGGAATTGCCTGAGAAGGCTGAAGTCCATCCATTACTAACACACAAATGTGCTGCTGGTCACGCACAGCAGAGACAGGGTGCAAAGTGGCTCTCTCCTGCTTGTGCTCCTGCTCATGTTCATCTTTCTGACAATCTGTCAGTCACATTTTCCTGTAACTTGTCCCATCCTTACTGGCTTGGTTTATCTATTGTCCCGTAACAGCCCTTCGGGAGGCCACCTGCTATTCTGCAGGCATCAGGGATCAGACACTGAGGGACAGAGTGTGCCTGTTCTCTCCAAACCAAGCCCCTAGCACTGTGGGCACACTTATCTTTAAATAGAATTGATTTTGCACACCCTGCCCTGCACAACAGACATACATAAAAGCTGTAATGCACACAGAGGCACACTCATCTGAAAAGGTGGAGCAACAATAGCAAAATTAAGTAATTAGGAAGCAATTTCACATAGGTAGAGAGTCCTTTACACATGCTGTTGATCCAAATATTCTCTCAGTGCTATCTATACTCAGCGTTGTCTCCCTCTTTAGGGAAGTGTACTTGCTCCTACCTCACTGTTTACAATTCAATTTCCGTCATGGAATCCACCATTCCCTGGTGCAAACTAGTGCACAGATGTTCCTCATCTCCCTAGCTGAAACTAATGTTGTATATGCTGGTGGCCAAGTCTGTCATGCCTAAGGGCAGTAGAACTGCAAGAAATGCTTCAGTGACCCAGAAATTACAGAAGCATATGGGAAACAGAATTCGTAACATTAAAAATCAATAGCCAAAACTGAGATGACAGGGCCAAGAGGCAAGTGGCAAAGTTCAATCAATTCATCACCTGTGTCTGTAGTTATTTGAAGAAAAAAATAATTTTTTCAGAAACTTTACATGGATCAGGTTTTATTTTCCCTGATCCAATCTCATTTTCAAACCTTTGCAGATACAGAGCAGTATTTAAGATTTTTGTTGATTTTTGTTTGTTTTGAAACTGAAGGTGATATTAGCCTTAATTTCATGAGATACTTATGATAAAAGTGATCACACATGCTCCAAATATACTTTATGCAAGCTTGAAGAAGCCTGAACTTGTTAAAGCATTTGCTATCACAGAAAAGAGCAATACATTCACAAATGCTATTCTTGCACTATTTTAAGAGTTATGCTTTCTTGAACATACCTTTTGGAAAACACTTGATATATAAAAATTCCTACCTATTAAGCTGCCCTGGGACTCTACTCCCATGTCACCAGAGGAATGCTGGGAAGAGCGTTTGGGAAGTGATTCTGCCAAACCCCGGTGTAAAGTGCGTCGCCTTCGTCTCAGAGCAAGTAATTTCCCAGAGTCTTCTATGGACTGATTAATTGCATATTCCTCCATTAGGAGATCTGATTCTGCAGTGGAAAAAAATAAGGTTACCAAAGTGTCAAAAAGAAAGCTGAAGACAAATTGTGAGATATGCAAGGTGGCAGCAAGAGGAACAAGCACACCTTCCAATACATGCACTTAAAGCAGGTAACTGGCGAACTACACCCTGACCTCCACCCCTGTTCTATTTTCTAGACGGCACTTGGAACATTCTGCAGAAGTGGTGCACACTCAGCCCCAGGGAGGATTGTTCAATGCTATTCCAGACAGCAGCTGGAAGAGCACTGCAAGACACTGTTAGACTGAGGCTTGAAATTGTGTTAGACTGTGAACCTGCAGCAGTGGCTGGCCAGGCTGTGAACAGACATCCATAGAGCTTGCCAAGTGCCACTGCTTCTCTTCTCAAAGGCACAGTCAAGGAAATTCTTAGAGATAAACATATCCAGCTGAGAATAACAGCTTTCCTGCTGCTCCTCTTGTTTCCTTCTGAAAGCCATTACGGCCAGGTATACAAGAGCCCCTTGTTAGCCACAAGGCTTCTTTCATACTCTGAAACTGGCAGATACACTGATGACAGGAAGTTCTGTCTTTAAGACTGCTTGGTGTTGCCTTTTTTTCAAGCCATTCTTTGAGGAGCCAGGTTTGACAGACAAAAAAAAGTACATAGCAAAGGTAGCTCCTTACTCCAGTACAAAGAAGAAAATGCCTCACCAAGTTGTTTGAAGTTTTCCTGTATTCCTCCCCAGGTATTCTTCTCAATTACAGACTTGACAAGGCCCCAAGGCTGTTTTTTGTACTTCACTTCTGCAGAAACCCTAGAAAACAGAATGCAATAATGGAAAAGTGCTCTTCTAGGCGGCACAGTGATAGCAGAAATCTCTTATCAGAAGCAGCCTCCAGCTTGTGTCTACAATCTGCAACACCAACTGGAACTGCCATCGCTCTCCAGCTGGGCAGCACTTTCATTAAAAAAATGCAAGAGACAGACAGTAGCAAAGACAACATCTCTAGCTAAAGTGTCAAAATCTAAATGTCCAAATTATGGGAAACATTTTGGAATGTTTTCCTTCAGGCTCAGACTACCAGATGATTTCTATCCTCTGAAGCATTCTCATTTTAACACATATTTAAAATAGGATTCAGGCTTCCAGATAATAAAGTAATGATTTTTACTTTGTATGAGTACACATGATATATTACATGGGCACTACAATAGCAGAAAGTGAAATTCTTTATCATAACTCAAGTGCTCACATCCTACCCCGAGTAGACAGAAATTAAAATCTGTCTTTCCATGAGCATGACAGAGGGGAAAACTACATTCCTACTGTGCATTCCCTGCATTCCTCAGGTAAAGCTAATCAATACTGCTTCCAGAATAAAAATGAATTGGACTAGAATCCTTCAGAGGCATGCTTTAACTGAGTGAATCGCAAAGCTATTCATAAAGGACTAAGTCCTTGATTTCAGTCAAGAAGACTGACCATCCTAGAATACACTCTTTTCAAATTTTTAAGTAATCTTCCAAATCAATGTAAGCCCACTGGGCATGGTGTAATAAAACAACTCCTTTCAAACAGAGTTTCTGAGCCATTTTAAACACAGTTTAGTAAGGCCAGCTGTAACATCATTATGTGCCTTTCTGTTCTATACACATATGCTCTGTGCACCACGTGCACCTAGGTTTTTGCTCTTATCCTAGGGCTGTCGCATTCTCAGAAAAAACTAGTCTAGGTCCCAAAGAAGAACAGCGATTCACTCAAAAAAAAAAATCCAAAGCAGTCGTTCAAGGACCTTCATTCCATTCTCCCAGTAGAGAGGGAGTTTTCAGTAGGCTGAGATTAGCCAGAATAGAATCCAGGCTTGCTAACCTTTCCTGAGCACTGATTAAGTTTGAGAAAAAAGCTCTTATTAAAGACAGCACCACTTACATTGTTTTCAACAAATGGGAGAGGAAATTCCGTATCTAGACAGAGTTCACTTGAGTACCCTCCTTGCAAAATTAAGTACATTCTATCTTCTCTGCACATTCCTGGGAAAACATTCTCCTCTACAGGCCCTTAGCAAGGATGACTGGGAAACCTTCTAATAAAGCATCTCAATTTTTTCCAATTTCTCCCACTCACACAGCTGCACTCAAAAAACACACGGCTGGTCAGGACCCAGTTCAGTCTGGGAGATGAGTTCTGTACCTCAGAGTCAACATCTCAGTTAATCTCTCACTGCATTAATGAGATCCAAGCACAGCATACATGTGACAAGAAATAAACTAAGCTTATTCTTTATAAAAGAACCCAACATTCTCTGTGCTGCTGGAAAATCTCAATTGAGAACATCCCTGCCTTGGCTTCTGCCCTCCCCGGTGCAGCACGCAGGCTCACCGTAACCGGCACTTGTGACTGGACGTGCGGCTGATGCAGTATCTGTTCACAGTGTAGAAATAATCATGGTAGGGGACGTCGTGGGTCAGGACCTCAGCATCTACCTGGTAAGACTGACCTTTCTGGCTCTGCTTATGCAGGATCTATCAAAAAAGAAAAGAAAATTAAGAAGGTATACTCATGGTACACAAATTTCCCCCACCCCCTTTCAGCCTGAGTTCCTTAGGCTGGATCAACCAACTCCAAGTGAACTCAAGAAGAGAGAAAGCCTGAAGAACCACTATAAAAACCAGTAAAGAATATCAAGTATAGGTGGGGTGGGAAAAGAGAAGATGCCTCCTGCTAGAGCCAACATCAGCAGCATCAGGGCTTCCCCACTGCCACCTCAAGTACCAGATACAAGGCTGGCCACTGCCTCATGACCACAGCTTTTCTTTCCCAAAGCAGAACTACAAGAGGGTTGAGACTGGAAGGCACCTCTGGTGCTTGTCTTGTCCAAGAACTCAGGCAGGACTATCTAGAGCTGGTTGCCTAGGTCCATGTCCAAGTGGCTTTCCAATACCACAACATCTGTGAACAACCTGTTCCACTGCTTAGTCACCGTCACAGTGAAAAAGTGTTTCCTGATGTTCAGAAGGAATCATCTGTGTTTCAGTTTGTGTCCATCACCTCTGGTCCTGTCACTGGGCACCACTGAAATCTGTGGCCTTTGATGGTGAGGGCCTGACTCAGAATTTTTTGCACCCTCCTTCAGATGCTTCTATATAATTTTAAGATGCCCCTGAGTGTTCTCTTCTCTGGGCTGAAGATTTCCAGCTCTCAGCCATTTCTCACATGGGATGCTCCAGTCCTTTCATCATCTTAGTGGCCCTTTGTTAAGCTCTTCACCTCTCATACTGGGGAGCCTAGAAGTGGACACTGAAAGCCTTTAATTGCACCTTTTCACCCCCCAGTTCCTAAGAGATGTTTCATGGGAATTTACAGACATCTATAAAGGTAGAAAGCCTCTCTCATTTCATAAGCATTGGCTCAGCAATGGTGAGAGACACAGCAAGACACCTGAGAGATGCTTTGTTTAAACTGCAGATGCACATTCAGTTCACCAAACTTTAATCCACAGCCAGAACTCTGACGGAGCAGAGAGCAGATCTGTCCCTTGCTTTAAAGGGCACCAGACAGACACACACATGCACACAGTACCTGCTTTTCTGTTGCAGTTGTGAACTTCCCACAGAGGGGATTGTTAATCGTTACAGTGTATGTCAAAGTCCTCAACTGATTGCCGTTGGAGTCTCTATTCCAAGGGGTTGATACAGCATCTAGATGAGAAGTTATGCAAGATCTCACATAAAAAATTACCTGTCTTATCATGTCTTAACAGTTTGAGAACAGGAGTATGGGGCAAGACAGAAAACCGGTTCCAATTAATTGTGGGGCTTTTCCAGGAAAAACCATACCCATGTAGTCTGCTAATAAACAAAGGTGAGGCTCTGGATAGCTGAGCCTGAATCTATTGAAATAGGGTTGACAAAAGAGTAAGCAATTAAATGAAAATACATAATTTCCCATTTGCTTAGAGTTGAATAGATTCACTTAGCATTATCAAAAGCTTTTGCCACATTGCCTTTCCAGCTGACACTGAATAAATATTACCCTTTTTGACTTGATTTTCTGTTCTTACGGTCTCAGTGAATAAAATTTACTCACCCAGAAAATTAAAGCCTGTGAGTATCGTTTAGGAGGATGCAATGATTTTTGCCTGTGTACCAGCCATACAAATTTCACTATTTCTGGGACACAATGTAATCAGAAATACCCCACAGAATGCATCAACTTAATAACCTATTCAAAATTCAGGCATTAAGGTGCAGTTTTGTGGTGCACTGAAATGAGGTTTTTACTCCAAAATGTGCATACCTAGGGAAACAATAGTCTAGCTTTAGATATCCTCTCTGAAAGTGAAACTTAAAAGCTTAAAAATTCTTTCAAAGAAAGGAAAAACTTCAAAAAAAATTCAACTTAGCCCTATTTAGTAATTCTCAGAGGTAAAAATTTTCAGGGTAGCTTGTAACAGACAGAAGGGAGAAGAGTTTATTACCTACTATACTCCTGGAATTAAGAAACCTCTGCATGAAGTGAGAATTGGTGAAAAGGATTTCAAACATCTTGTCTGCAGTGATGTGGAAAACTCTGTTTATAAAAAGTCTCCCATAGAGATCATTGTCAGAGACAGTCTCCTTCACTGCTAAGAAAGACAGAGATCAGGTTAAGAACAGTATTACACATAACCTTGATAGCATTCTAGGCTTTATTACAGCTTAAATCTCTCCCAAGCTTGCATCAGCATTTGTTTCTTGCTCTCAGAAACCCAGTAAGGATATCAGCAAATGATTTGGTAGATAGATTGCCTTCAGGAACAAAGTCCAAAGCTGATTTTCAAATACACACCACTACCACCCCTTCCCTGTGCAAATTGATAAATTAACAGCAAAAGCTACCATCCCTTTAATTTTGCCTTCAGTATTCTACTAATCCTGCAAGAAACACTGGGGAAAGAAAGTTAGCATAATTTTCATTAATATGTATGTTTATTGTACAAAAGACAAGAAAGAAGGACACTAAAACCATAACAGTTTTCTTCTTATGGCTGGTTTCAGAATTCTGCTTTTAACAGTTGTAATACTGGTAATGCCCACAGTCTAAGGGACCAGGTAGACTCCCAAGCAGTTCTTCCCTCCATACCTATTGAACAGGAACACAAGGGGCACCCTGCTCCATTTTGCAGTTCCCAAAAATGCATGGAGAGGCTCAAAGGCCACCATCTATTTCAAAGCCACCGAGCACCCCAGTGGCATTCTGTGGCTGCAGCACTGATCTTTGCTATTTCTGCTTCTTGGTGGTTGCTGGCGTGACTCAGCTTTGTGGTTTTCTCAGCCACACTTGCAAGAGATAAGGGATAGAACTATAATCCTGGAGGGCAAGCAGTTTCCTGTGCCAATCCCAACTCAATCTACTTATGCTTTAGAAAGAAGTCAATCCTAAACTATAATTACCAGCAAGACAAACAAGCCCCCCCAGCACCACACATCACTAAAATGAAACAAGCAGCCCAAAAGCAAGTCTTGCAGCAGACAGACACAACCTTTCAACTGATACAAATGAATGCTCAGGGCTAGGAAAGGTCAGTGCCATTTACGAATGCAAAGGGAGCCTGAATATCACGCTGTAGTTCACAAGCTGCCTGCAGGCTAATGTTACAGCACTTAAAACATTACTGGCTTGGTAGCAGTCAGTATTGATAAGGAAAATGCACCGACTGAACAACTACAGCAGTCCCCAAGGAAACCCAGTTCTGACTGAGCAGACTCCCTCTCTAGTGCTGCTCCTAGCCTGCTAGAACATCTGCCTCCAAAAAAGCTCTCCTTGATCTCATCAGACTTCAAAGCAGGACCCCAAAAGAGAAGCATGAGTGCTGTGGTTTTGTGCTTGCACAAGAGGTTGACTTCCTCTCCATGCCGTGTTCTGCTTATGCAATTGTAATTCCACACAATTAGGAGATGGGACAGAAAGCAAACACACATTTCAAGAGGCCTATTTAACCAGTCCATACACAGTCATTACACATAGAATATGAATTCTGCTCTGCTGAAACATTGTGCACGAAGCCAGAATTTCAGCCTGAGTTTTCAGCTTTTACTCACTGTATTTTCTCTCCTAACTGAATCTAACTCTAACAAAAGGCAGGCCAAGTGAACTGCAAGTTTGACCTAATTTAACAAGACCTCTACATTACAGATCTCTCCTTTCAGAGTGCACTACCCACATCCTCTCTTTTGCTAAGAGACAGGAAGTTTCAGATACTGATGCTGACCTCCCCCGCTCCTACTGTGCTTGAGCTACTAGGCAATTCACACCTAGTCACTGTGGTTGAGTGTTACTCAGCTGGACGTTGGCATGCCCAAGGAATCTGCTACCACTTCAAAAAAAAAATAAAGACACCCAGACACATGATCAAGCCACCAGATAAGCATTAGATCAGTTTTGTCAGCTATTTGTATATGTCTTAGCAAACACAAGATAACACAAGTTACCTCTGCCCCAGTGAGCCTGAGCTAAACAACTTCACGTTCACCTGAAATGCCTGAGGACAACTGCTATTTTTCTGCCGATGCAAGGTAATTTGGTATGCCAGGGCAACTTGTGATATGCACAAAGCCCATGCTTTATTACCATAAGGTGCAGATCTTGCTACCAAGCTCTATTACTCTGAGTCTATCCTCTTTCTAGTGAGTTTGAACAAAAAGCACCCACAGGTCTATACAAAACTTCCCCGAAGCTAATCTACCTACACTAGCTCTATATAGTCATGTCTCTAATAAGGAATAGTCAATGAAGTGCCAATGAAGTGCATGAGTATCTACTGAGAAATATGTTTTCTATTTACAATCCTTCTCAGCTCTTGGAAGAAACAAAGGAGTTTTTTTAATGTTGTTAGCACATACAGCAGTAATTTTCAGAAAATCCAAGCTAAACCTGGATTTACATATCAGGCCAATCAGCTACTTTAGATGCTAGGATTCAAACAGCTGTTCTCCAGAAAACTGTAAACTTTCTGGACAATGAGTCTGGAAGGTTCATGTATACATAAATGCTGTGAGTTCCACATCTGTGGAACCAAGTAGCAGGATACACCAAGAACTTGACAAGCTTCAAGTCACTTCCACCTGGGCTTCTCAAAATTTGTCTGTAGAAATTCTAGATGAAGCAGTGAGCACAAACAGTAGCACAGCAATGAATAAGCATACACTTTATACACTTGTCATTTGAACAGAACAGGCAGCCTTAACCACTTATTTCTGCTACAAGTGAAGATGCATGTTTGTCTACGGTTTCATTTCACACAGGTAAACTTGCCTTTGTTTTTCACAACAGTAGGGCAACACAAAGCATTTCACCCTAAGACTGGCTTGGAATGCTCTTTATTAACAAAGTGTTTCGTGCAAATACGGAGATATCAGTTTAACTCCTTCACTTTCAGAGCTGTTCTAACCCCTCAGCAGCATATAATTATCAATGCTAACTTTCTTAACCTGAATACATTTATAGCTAAATTGGAGCTGTCTGCTAAAAGAACATGAGATTATTCTGACTTTAGGTAAGGATCACTAGGGACCCAAAAACACAGAAGTAAGCATATTACCCAGAGTGTTCTGGTTCAGCCTAACGACAGCAGGGTCCATTCCCTCCCCCACTACTGCTCTGCACTTCCTAAGGTCATTTTCATCACTGCAAGGCAAGCTGTGAAATAATGTTTGAATATAATACCATTATGCAGCAGAGATGGTAGAGGTTTAAAGACATCTGCAGTGCAAAAAAAGAGACAGAAGATGAGGGGTGGAATGGGGCAGTAAGAAAACCACTATTATTAAAATTCCCCTCAACAACCAACAGCAAAAAGCTAAACACATACCACATGCAAATTAAGAAAGCTGAACTGATAAAAGCAGAGGCTATCAAACAAATTAGTAAGAAGGTTGATTTTTCCACTCCACAGAGTTGGGGGAGGATCAGGATTTTAAAAAGTATGTATGCAAATCTTGGCACTGTTGAACATTTCTATACCACTGTGGATAGGGAAAAATTACAGGCTGTATGAAAGATATGTAGGTAGAAGCTTTTAACCAAAAAATACCTGAAATCAAGTGAATAAAACCAATTTCTAGAAGTGAACATGTTTCAGACATCATCTATTTAAAGACTGTATCAGCGGTATTAACCATTTTCAGAGAATTCTCCTATACTTTAAGTACAGAATTATCATGGGGAACTACTAAGTAAGTACTGTCACAATGCTAGCTTTTTCCAGTTCACAAAATAAAAAATCCCCACCAATTTTTGCCTTCAGGTGACTTAAACATATATCCTCCAAACACCAAAATAAATAATTTTTTTTCAACAAAGTATATCCTTTCAGTATTTTGATTAAAATGCCAATACGATAACAGGGCTACTCTTCCTTACAGACAATGCATATCCAAAATTTTGTATTGGGGGGGAAGAGGGGGACAACTAGTACAGGGCTGAACCTAATTTCAACTGTCCTGCATTTTAAACACTGTTTGCCCTCTATACCACTATCTGCAAGCAGTCAAGCCTCTGCTGTGTCCATCTTGCAGCACCATGGTGCAGGCAGGTATGCTCTCCTGCAGATCACACATTTAAGGTGGTTATTAGTACACACAGAAACAACACAGTAAGTCTGTCATGTTACACAAGGAGAACAGAAATGTGTGATCTCCCTGCATACAGTAGAGCCTTCTAGCAGAAAATACTGTTTTCCCTGTATCCTGCTTCCCCCTTCTTTCTTTGAAGTATTTCATGTTGCCGAACATGGTCACGGAAAACAGACAAACAAACAAATTATACTAAAGAATCTTGAGGAAATTATAAAGATCTCCTGGCTCTGTGTTAGAGACACATATTCTGTGCTTGAACTAAAATCTGTTTTCTGAAATTCAGAATTCAGGCCACAGATATTAATGTTTAGCTTAGCCAAAAGTTTGTCATGGCTCAGGATTTATACTCTGATTTATGAAACTGGACAAAAACACCAAGATGCACGTCAATAGGCCAGTGGGGCACAGTGGGATGCAGACCCCCATCCCCAAGGTGAGAACTGCTTAGGACAAGGGAATTATTGCTGTGAAGAACAACAGTCTTGAGCTTGCCCCTCACCTTATTTGCTAGGACACCTCCATGGGCAGCCTGAGTATGAGCCAGAGGACACAAGAGAAATTAATCGCATGGGTAAACCTTTGCCATGTAGGAAAGCTAGTTTCATTTGCGTGAAGGAATTCACCTTGTAAGAGTGTGGGGCAACTGCAACAGAAAACAGACAGAGAAACAGAAGAAAAAAATTCTAAGCATGAAGATTCTGAGAGAAAAGATTAATGTTGTGAGTCTAGAAAATCCTGTTCCGAATAAAAAAAGACTAGTCTTGGGGAAGGGAAGAGAAATAAGAAAGTCAGTTTTTTTTTATTAAAGATATATCTCCAGTTTAATATGCTCTATTTATTCAACAACACTAATGCAGGCATGACAGGGAATATTTACTGCTATTGTTTAGGCACTAGCAGCAGGAAAGACAACAGGACTACTTTTTAATCAGTTTAACTGGAGACCTTCGCCATAAAAAATAAAATCCAGAGACAGAAGAGAGATGTAGTAAAAGGAAAATAGGAAAGCTGCAAACTATCTAAAACATCCAAAAACCAGAACTTTCTGCTGCTCTAAGAGATACACCTGTGAAAGAGTAAATTAATTTTTGAAGCTTGTTAAGTGTGTAGGAGTACAGCATAAACAACAGACTCTTTAAGTAGGTATATTCACAAAAATTATAATGCCTGACATACATTGAATTGAATCTGAACTCAAGCCAACACAGAAGCAGTATGGGGGAGCAACAGCAAAGTTAACTGAATATAACCATATTCCCAGGCAAAAATCACAACTTGAAGGCAGCCAACTCAAACTGTAACTCTGAAAGCCTTCCTGCACACCTCAACAATCCCCCGTAACAACACCTGCAAACAACTTCAGTTGTCAACTCTGAAAACAAGAAGTCACAAAATTTCTCAGTGACATTAAGAACTGCCTTCAATTAACTAAACTGCTTTATTGCTGCAAAATGATGAAGTAAGTTCTCTTTGCACATGAAAGAAATATACAGCTGCTACTGAGTACAGTACTACTGTTGGGGTTTTCTGTCTTTTTTTTCTCACCACCATATAACCTTGGAACCAATACAGGTTGTGCACACTTCACATTAAAAGCATTTACAGAACCCAAGATTCAGATATTACAGAATATCCCCCAAAGTTCAATGAGCTGTCTGAACAACTACAGCCTTTGGCACAGAAAACTTCCCCAGGGTAAGTGAAAATCTCATCATAGAAAGTGAGAACTTGTCAGGGCTGGAACCACAGCACAAGCACCCACAAATCTCAGCACAAGCACCCACAAATCTCAGCACAAGTCTGTCATCCAGGTACCTACGCTTCTTCTATCTTGTACTGGGTAATGAGATATGAGGTTGGTATATTAGGATCCACTGTTAGCACAGAGTGAAAGCTGCTGCAAGATATCCATTAAGGTTTTTCATTTTCAGATCAGACTCAGAATACACACTATACTCTCCTGAAACCCTGGGCTTTCAGTAAGTTCCTCAGCTTACTCCACCAATAACAATGAAGCCCATAAGCCTTAAGCAAGTACAAGTGTAAAGAAGGGGGTTGGGAGAAACTTTCAGAAACTTAAGTACAGCCTGAAATGTTTCCCCTCAGTTTCCAAGAAATACAAACAAAGGAAAGAAACATCTTTGAAATTAGCACCACCTCATTGTCAAGAAACTTCTAGTTTAAACTGTTGGCAACTCTCTACCCACCAAAAGAGAGAAAGAAAACCACAATTTCTTTGTTTCCATTCTAAATACCCAACAGCTTTTTCCCTCACAGAAACAAAGATTAAAAAATGCTTTTGCTGCAATTCTGTGAAACAAATAAGCAAACAAGTTTCATAAGATCAGAAAGTTCTCTAACTTTCTCCACAAGTGAGATGGAACACCAAAGTCATGTTGTTTTACAGATCCCAACTTTTAAGAAAGAGATTTACCTTCTTCACTATCTGAAGCACTGCTCTTCTCTGGAAGATTTTCATTCTCGTTAAGGTCTAAGGACTTTTCTAAAGACCTGCTCCTAACTAGCTTAGCAGGTTTTCTTTCTGAAGATGGAAGAGGACTCTTTATTTGCTTCTCACTTGAGGACTCCTCCACCTGAAACAACCAAGAGCAGAAAAAGATATCAGCAGAGACCATTAAAAAAAAAAAAAAAAACAAAACAAACAAACAAACAAAAAAAAAAACAAAAACAAAAACAAAAAAAAAACCAGAGAAAGTTACTATAAAAGAAGACAGCCATACAAAGTAAGCCACAAGTTCTGTCTGCTCAATTACCACACAGTCAAGCACTAATTTCCCCCTTGTTCCTCTACCCCAGCTAACCTCTCTTCCCTTTATTTAAATATTTCACTAAACTCTGGTAACAAGAAACAGACTTACTTGTATGTACTGATGGTACCAAGAGCTCCCTTAAATGGGACAGTCCTCTTGCACTCATCTGCACAGTTTGGGCCCCTTCCCTGCTTCAACACTCACATTTATAAATTAATTAACCTTACACAGATTTACTTTACATTCATCAGGTTAGTTTTTCCTAACAGTTTAGCAAGGGTCCAACAACCCAGAGGGGAAGCACAATGAAACAGGCAGGGTGCCCCTCTTTCAGCAAGATTAGATTACCCCAATTACGTATTTGAAAACTTCTTATTTTGTAGGATGCCATCACCCTTTGAAAAAAGAAGTTTTAAAATACTGTTTAGAGCCATCCTACTTATAAAATATTACTTCTCACAAACATCTCCAATATGTAAGCAAGAAGGAAATCCCTCTGAACATCAGTCACTGAATCAATGATGCAGCTCTTAACCTTAAACAAGAACTGTCAGCTAAGCATGTATGTCATTGCACACCTAAATAAGTAAATCTCCAGGGAAACTATATGGACAAAGTTTGTGTATCTAAAAATGCCACCCAAAAAGTTTAGCTACCAGCTTTGAATCAGTTTTCATTCTAAACCTCTCCTCAAGGCCCCACTGCCACCAGTGGAACATCGGGATGAAGAGCAGCACAGCCCCAGAAGAGCAGTGTATGGACCACAGTAAATATGATCAGGCACCTCAACTGAGTTGTTCTGATTCATCTGCAAAACCATCATCCCTAAAGAGTATTCAGCATTGACTCAAGAAAGCAAAAGCATCCACTGCTGGAACAATCATCATGTACTTCCTGTACTTCTTGGGTTTTTTAAAAAATAAAAACCTGTTACTTTTCTTGTGCAACCAAGGGCTATTAGGTGGTGGGTGGCTGGAAAACAGAGACAGGCATAAATCTGACTGCAGTATAAGCAGACAAAAGTACTCCTTCGGGGTCAAAAAAATATAAAGGAGGACTGAATCAGAAAAACACATCAGTTAACAAATGCTCCTATTGAGTGAAGCTGCCATGTAAGTTATACTCAGTCACATAACAGGATCTAGGACAGAACCAACATTAAATGTCAAAATACCAATACAGATGGAAGTCCAAAAGGAGCTAGTTGCAACAGAACAGCCTAAAAATTGACGCTCTGATCCAGCACAAACCCAAGGAACTCTCATAGCATTTTGACAACAATCACAATCTAGTGAAGCAAGGTTCCCACCAGCAGCATAAGAGCAGCCCACTATGGCACTAAGTAGAGCAGGGAAGCCAGGCTCAAGTCATAAGACAAAAGCAATAGCTCTTAGGATAAAAAAAAGCTTTTCATGTAGTTATGGAAGAAGAGATTCAAGCTGGAGCTTTTGTAATAACTGATTGAGTTTAAAGACAGACTTCATGGGGGTTTGGGTTGGTTTGCATTTTTTTCACACTAAAGAGTAAAGATTTTAAGATCTGTCAGCTGGAATTAAAGATGTATAATTTATTCCCAATTGTACATTTATCTCCTGAGCTAGTCTAGTAGTGCTAAGCTCTGTGCCAAGGGCTTTTTGGTTTCCAGCCTGTGAACAGCAAGATCTGGGACTGGAAGGCCTCCCTATAAGGGGAGGAGGGAAGATGATGGTTGCAAAAACAGGCAACAAGGTGGCTCCCACATTCACATGTACTGAGAGGGCAGGTAAGTCATGTAAACTTGTGTCAATCAACACAAGACAGCCATTAACAATATTTTTTTCAAGATGGGCCAAATACTAGACCTCCACTATTCAGATCTTCATCCTATGAGAGCTTTGGGCCTTACTTTGTCTATCAGAGCAGTAAAGGGAATTTAAGCCTGTTTCCCTCCAGTGTTTGGAAGGTGGTTAAGTGTGCTTTGTGTCATCACTATGATGACTTCTGATAAATACATTCTAAGCACTAATGCCTCCTCCAACTGCCCTTGTGGTTCTACAAAATATGCTGCAATCCTGGGACTGTGGAGAGAGCATGGATATTCTTGAGTAATGCCAAGTGACACATACAGCTAAACAAAATCATTGTGCACTTTAGCTACCCTGAAACAGTAAACAGTTTAGTTATACATTTATCAAGACTGCACTTTTACACTATAATTAAAAGACTTTTCAGAGGCAGTTTATTCAAGGCAGAAGACTGGCATTTTTGCAGACCAAATCCCCAGGCATTCCTCCTTACCAAGATGCCAAATTAGATTTAGCACCTGCAAGAGACATCTCGGGGTGTGGCTTCTTTTCCAGGCACAGCAATTATCTTTAAATGGCTTGTTCTTGCGCAAGTAAGACTTACAAGTGCAAACTAAGGCTACCTGTGTAGATTTTTAGTTATCCCAAACAGTCCAAATTCCAGCAGCATCCTCAGTCCCCTCAGGCCTCCCCTACAACTCTCCAAAAATCTTGTTTCATACTGCTTGAGTGATGGGTACTCCATAAGGAGTACCCATCAGTCAAGCAACTATGCTTTTAACATCTGAGAAACACCAATATTCTTTGCTGGATATGAGTCTCTAGCCATTAATTTGGATTTTGGCAAAATTATTTAAATCCTACTTAACCTCCAGATCAGTTTCAGCAAGTGACAAAAGCCAGAAGATTTAAAGGGTAGGGTAGTAAAAACTATTAAGATAATCTCCTTCCTTCCTTCACATATTCACCTAAGCAAAACTGGCAATTAAGTACCCAACCCTAGTGAAGCTTATAAAAAATGCATTAGCGGTTTATTTTCTTTTCCAAGACCTTTGGGACACCTAATAACCAAGAGAAAATATCTGCAACTTTTTAGGACTACAGCTGCACACAGGAGCCCCTGTAACTGTGCTAGACACTGTGCCCATCTCATATCACTACTAATGCGCTTGCTGCTCACACTAGCCAAACACATTCACAAATTCATACAACATGAGTGAACACAAGTGAGCATTCATGCTTGTTAGTCGTACTAACCCAAGGCATCAAGGTCAAGGTGAAATTCATCTTCATTATAGCAAGTAGGGGGGCTTTCCCCTTCCTTCTGAAGCATTAAAAAAGGTTTCATATATTCACAACAGCAGACTGACCATTGAAGGCAAGAAAGACAAAGTGTAACTACCCTTTAATAAGCCTTATGTATAGGAGATACAATAAAATAAGAGGAGATATCTTTTTAAATGACAAATAAGCACAAGCAAGAAAACATTGGAAGTGAAAAAAGCATTACTTTCAAAAAGCACTTGGATAAAACACAAATATGGTCCCCTTGGGAACTGGATAAGAAAAACCAATAAATTTTGTTTCTAAAGGAAAAAGAGAAAAAAACAGACCAGGACATAAGCCTCAGCATTATAGCAAGGCTGCACAGCGAATTAGTGACAGAGCACTGCTGAAGCTTATACCAACAATATTCTCTTACACAGAATTTTGCTCATTTTCAAATTTAAGAAACATTCTTGACTTCCCAAAGACTTCCTTGGAAGGTACAATCTCCATTCATCCTATGCTTACAGACATACACGTTAAGCACATATGCTTATCAGCAAGAAAGGCTGTGTCAGCACTTACTCCTGGCAACATGTGTCTGTTGAGTGACTCTCCTTCTGTTTGAAGTGTGGGCTCACGAACTAAACCAATCATTTTGGGTAGTTTTTCATCCCTTTCTCCAGAATCATCACAAATGCTGGATCTGTCCAAAGCAAAAAGAAGATATCTTTGGAGATCTAAGCACTGAGAAATCCGAGAAAGCGTCTCGTGGGATTTTTGCATTGAAAACATGGCTGTTCAGATAACATTAAAAACTACCAAGTCATTCTTCCCACATACAGCTCATTAATATCAAGCCATCTTCCTCATTTCAGCCACCTCTCAAAACATTCAGCTTCTGATCATAAGGTTAATGACACCAAGAAAGTGAATGCTGTGAGAAATGAAAAAACATACAGCTTGTAACTAATTTGGAAAGAAAAAGCATTATGAAAGTGTCAGAAAATAATTTTTTTCCTGCACAGCTTATTCCAAAGTTGCAACTTTCTAACAGAAAAAACCCAAAACATAACAAAAAAAAACAAAAAATCCAAGCAAACCTAAAACAGAAACCAAACCAATCAAACAAAAAAAAACACCAAAAATACTTAATAGAACATCTTTTGAAGCCTGTAATGAACTCAAGACATTTTTCTCACAAACATATTCAGATAACACAGGATTAAAGAGACAAATTACATTGTTCCATTTTGGAGAGTCATACTTATTTACACAGAGATATGTAGAGTGCTGTTATTAGATTGACACTGGCAGGTCATAAATCAGTTCACATTTGTTCAAAAAAAAATCAAGGAAACTTTCAAAAATCCACATCATTATTATTACAATTATTCTGGCTTGTTATATTATTATTCCTGTTTCTTAATTCAAGCTGAGGACAATACAAAAATAAGCTAAGACATCAGATATCAGGGGAACAAGGCAAAACAAGTATTTCAGTCTCCGCAGAGGACGGGGAGAAAGAAAGCATCTGAACCATAATATAGCTCCATTCTATGCAAATCTTCCAAACTGTTGAAGGGCATAAAGGTGCTAGGTGGACTAGGCACCATCACGCAAAAAGGCTGCTATTTAAGCTACCCTATGCTGGTCCCCAAGCAGACCTAGGGAGAGAACAAGATGTTCCTCTCTCCTCTTCTAAGGGGTCTCAGCTACACTGCTACTATTTTAGCAAATTCACATAGTTAAGTTTTTATGCACACTCAGTCTATGCAGTTCAGAGCTTTGCATCCTTTTACTACAGGCTCAGCCATTCTGGTAAGGCTACAGCAGCTCTTTAGAAACTGAGTTTCTAAGAAAGAGGACACTGCTTCTCCCCAGATGTTTCAATAGGCTGTACAGCCTCTCCTTACCGAGACTGCCCGTTGTCCTCTGACGATGAGTGGAAGCTCTCCATCTCCTCGCTGTTCAGGCCCAGCTCAGAGCCATAGCTCTGGTGCACCAGCTGCCAGAATTCCTGCTTGGTCAGCCTCTGAAACAAAGCAGGCTAGTCAAGAACCACGGTATGGAACAGTAAGGCACTGGAGGAAAAACAGCAACAAGTTTGTATTACACCACAGCCTTTAACCTCAATTCTGACAAGGACCGAAAGCATTCAGGTATCACGTTCCAAGATTGGGTTTCAGCATTTTGGGCAACTGTACTCCTGTCTACTCCACACTCCCATTGCTGTTTAACCAACCATACCAGGCATAAGAAAAATCATCATTTTAAGAAAACACACACTTGTAGCCATTACTTGCTTCTTCACATGTCACCTATATTTTCACAGATACCTTCAAGGTACCTCCCTCTTGAACTTCACTTGATATGGCACAAGGTAAGTAATTACCTCTTTGATTCTGAACAAACTGCTTAATAGATACCTGTTTCCTGAGGATGTTCAGAGAACTTTACAAATTGTGGGAGGCTAGCATTTCAGTCACTACACTGGTGTCTAGGTCAACCAACTGTCCACTTTGCCAAGGGGGGACAGAAGGTCCTCACTTTGTACCACCAGCATCCTCTTAATGAAAAGTAGTTGCTTTTCTTCAGGATTACCTTGATTGAGGACTAGCTAAGTCTTCTCCTTCTCTACAATATCTCTATCCTGTTCCAAGAATTCCCACACCTACCGAGACATATTTAAGTTCTCTTAAATTGTCAGGAAAGCTTGGAGGTGAAAGTATGACACACTCGTATCTGCAAAGTAAGCAATGAGTTTCAAAGTCCACCTTGGCTGTAAAGGGCTTGGGGGGGAGGGGGTGTGCAAAAAAAAAGAAAGAGAAAAAAAGGAAATAAAAGGTTTTGGTATTTAACAGAGCTCAGAGAGCAATACTAGCGATCTTAAAACAGGAGACACCACACTGGAAAATGTGCCTCGGCCACCATCCATATTGATCAAGGGAACAGAACTGTGCTAATGAAGCAGTAACACAAGTAGTGCTTACTATTTGCATGAAATGATGACATTAAATACCCATGCATTATTTAAAAGGCCTTTAAATGATCCTCTCCACCCGCTTGCTTCACCTGAAGAGTGTTAGTTACAGCACCCGCAATTTTAGACAGGCACGGAGGAGCTGACCCGCACTCAGGATGTAAATTCGTGCCCGCAGCAGCCCCGGCGCTGCCCGGGCTGCCGGCGCTCCCCGCGCCCCGTCCCGCTCCGCGACCCACCTGGCGCGTCCCGCGGGGCAGCGCCGCTCCCGGGACAGCCCCGCTCCCGCCGGGAGCCGCCGCCGCGCTCCCACTTCCTGCTGGGCGGCGGCGCCGGGGCCGGGGCAGCGCCTTCCTCGGGTGCCGCCGCTGGCCCGGGGCGGGACAGAGCCAATCTCGGCCGGCGCCGCCGGGCCGGGCCCCGCGGGGATCCCGCTGTCCCCTCGCCCCCGCTGCGGGATCCCCGCGCTGCATCGCATCGCACGGGAACCGCTCCCCCCGAGGGCCGGGACAAATAGCCCAACTCGGGAGACGAGGAAGGGTTTTTCCCTCGGGTATTTTCCAGCACACCACGGTTTTTGTGCTGGCAACAAGCACTCTATTGGCAGAGATCGGTTTCAAAGTATTTAATCCTTGCGAGGGCAAAGTAAACATTAAAACAAACCACACAGCTGTAAAGCAAGGGTCATAGCAGCTAACGCCAGGCTCCCTCTGCACGCGGGTTTGTTCTACAGAGCAATGCCGTGCTGAAACACATGCATCCACTTACAGCTGGCCTTACTTTCCCCAGGCATTCTGTCTTTGAAGCAATAAACTCATAACCACAAACAACTACCTACAGCTGTTCGTATTAAATGGCCAAAACCAGGGGTGGGCATTACATGGTTTCAAAATACAACTGAGGTGAATCTTTAGCTAGCACACCTTCCAACTAGGAATCAAAGGACAGAAATAAAACCATTTTCATTTCTGTTGCCCAATATTGCCAATGCCTTGATTCCCAGTCATAATGGCAGTCATAATGGAGTTAACGTTGCTAATTAAATTGACCAGTATGTTCTGTCTATGGGCAAATCAGTCTGCCCTTTTACAGTCAGCTCAATAGTTCGAGGAAAGCAGAGAAGCTTTTCAGCTTCTATAAAGGAATCTGTAAAGCTGTTTCCTGTTGTTTTGTAAAAGCAATGTTACCAACTTCTTCTTCTAAAACAGGATTCTTCCACTCTGCTCAATTATTCCTAGCTCAGCTAGATATAATAAGTTCTTAATGGTCACAAGCCAAGATCAAAGGAGACTTGCTTTATTGTATCAGAAAGAGTCGGTTTTGAAAACAAAAAAGGGCATAAATTTTCTGGGTCAGACTTCTGCTTCTGAGAGATGCTTTAGAGAAGCTCTGAAGCTTGAAAGGCAAAATCTAAACATTCATTACTTTGCCCATTCAAGGTGATGGTCTACACCGCATTCTTCCTCAGTTCTCTTTGTATACAAAAACAAAGGCTACAAGAAGCAGCTGGGATACACTTTTGTCTTTTCAAGCAGAGCACAGATCATCAATACTTTGCTTCATGCCAGACAAAGCAGTGTCATGGCACAAGCAATACTACAGAGTACCACCGACAGAAGCAAAGCTGATGATTTTTACCCTCTATGGACAAATGCAGAAATAAGAACAAGACCTGCCATACAGGTTGACTAAAGAGACAGCCCTCACCACACATCACACTTCTACCAGGCAACTCTGATACAGAACCCTGATTGTTTGCAGAACAGGGGAGGGAAACAGCAAATTTTCCCTCTAATTGCCTAAACATGAAGCTCAGAATCAAACCAAGTCTTCTTACATCTCTTAAATTAATCTTGTTGTACACAAAGGTGCAAATAAACATCTCTCTTTTCACAACCTTCCCTAAGAAACTGCTGGGGAAGGCAGAACTGCTGTCCTGGGAGATGTTTGCCACAAGAAGCCCAGGTGATCAGAAATTCTGGTCCCTTCTCACACCTCTAGACTTACCTGCTACAATGTCTTCAGAGACAGGTGCAAATCTCTACCCAGCAAAGCAAAAGAAGAACAATAGGAAAATAAATCTAACTCTAAGGCAAAGGACTCATGGGAATTGAGACCGATTAAGTTAAGATCTTGTTCCATTAGAAATAAGGAGCGCTGTGTTTGTTTGGGATTTGAATGACCTGCCTAATTACATTTTAATTTGTTCCTTCTCCCTTAAACTTGAAGGATATTTGACACCTGTAAGGTTTAGGAAAATAAAGCAAAACAGTGAATGGCACTGCTCTTCTTGTCAATAGCAACCATGAATAAATTCCTTGTGCCAATCTGGAAAGCCCACTACAAAATAGGATTTTTGACTGATTTTAGAAACTGAAGTATTATTGAAAGCTGCAGTGGATGTGGAAGCAGCTATCTGTTTTATCAAGACTGGTGTCATGTCTCTTCCAGACCTGCATTAATGATTCCTTATTTTCCATGATGCTGGATCATTTAAAACACAATGGCAAGGTAAAAGCCTACAAGACTCACTCTGCACATGTTTTGCAACAGGGATGGAAAAAAAAATAAAGTGGAATTTTCCTTCAAAGAAAAAAAGTCTTTCCATGGACATTTAAAAATGAAAAAGCCTAAGAAAGACCCATGTTAAGAAGAAAGTACCCACTGACTTGCAGAGGAACTAGAGTTGAAGGGCACCAAACACACTATAGTGTATTCTGAGCAAGGTCTGAAGAAGTTACGAGCTACAAAATTGTAACTAAGCTGAAGAGGACTAGGAGTCCTGTCAGAGCAGTGGTGCAAGCTGGGGGAAAGCATCTTGATGGATGAAGTAAGTTTGGGCACAGAATAGCATGTAACCATTTGCTGGTTCTCTTGCACAGTGCAAGTCACTTCTAACCGAAAGGCAGACTTGTCAAAGCACTACTTGTTCAACCACCGAGGACATGCAATATTTGGGAGGTACAAGGCAGAATGGCCACCAGATGGAGATCTGGGAAAGGGTATGAGGCTGACCCCACCGACAAGTTCTGCAGGTGGTGAAAGCTTAAGGTGAATCAGGTAAAGCAGACAGGTCACCCCTCAGAGGTGAGACTTCATAGCACAAAATCTGTGCCCGGAAGCGCTGAAGAGGCCAGGGACTAAAATTTACCTTGGTACAACCATGATTTGAAGCAAATGTAATTCCAGTCCCCTGTATCCAAATCCTGAAAACTGGGGATTCTTCACTGTCAGGTGGTGCAAACCAGGACTATGACACCTAAAGTAAGATTTATACTTTTGATGACAACTTTATTTCATAATTTAACTGTTGGATGTCATCTCCAGGTCTAGAAGATGTGCTTCAGAATATAAACAAGCTATTCACAGGCTTCAAAACATTTAGTTACTGGCAGAGGAAACATTAAAACCAGCTCCTTTTGGAACTGGTTCCAGAGTGACATTTGTTTTTTGTCAAAAGCCGTACAAATTCTGATGGCATCCCTTTGATCACTGAAGCCAGGAACACCAAACTCCGCATACTCAGGTGCTGCATACCATGGCAGGGCCTCAGGTGTATGGGACATTTTCCAAATGTATGCTGTTCCTGACATTGGAGTGGTGGGGAGAAAACAGCAAAACTGCTTGAAAACGCCAAAGGCTCTCTTTTAGTATTAGTTCAGTAGACAGCTGCCATTCTAGTAGTGTCAGTGGATCCAGCTCCAGCAACTTCAGTTTCTACTTTCAACTCCACAGTGCCCCTCTATAGCTTTATCTAGTAAAGAATATCATAAAGAAGGCTGACAGGTGACTCAAACACATTCTAGCAGAGAATCAGAAGTCATTACTACGTTTCAGAAGTAGGAGCTCAACCTAACAGAAATCCTGTTTCAATAATAGTTCTAAACATACTACATTAAAAAGCCCTACATACACCTCATGACCATGCTCCATTTTACAACCCCAAGCAGAAATTCTCATAAACAGATTTATCTTTTAACATACTGCAGTGAGGATGAAAGCAAGCTAACAGCAAGATTTGACAGAAATAAGGATAGTTCCCAAGCTACTCTAATGCACTGGTTCCTAAAACCTGCTGGCTCATTTCATCTCATCTTGCATGCAGTCCATGCCTCCTGCTTTCTTATCTATCCTTTAGCTACTGTTCTCAAGTGAAAATTTGATCCTAATGCGACACTCATTTCAGTGTCAGAGAAGAAACACACAAGAAAAATTAATACTGAACAGTACAAACATTGTTACCTCTGTTCCAGCCCTAGGATAGGTTTGTATACCTGAATGTCCATACATTGACCCTCCAGCACCACAAACTAAATAAGTGAATAACGTAAGTGCCATTTCTGACAAACTCTGCACAATGAAAGAAAGCAAGGTTACTTCCAGTTGCCTGTTTCTGTCAAAAGGTGACAAAGTACATTGTGGCTGGATTCAAGACAATTAAATAGTATTTGATTTGAGGGACAAGGGATTTGCAAGAAACATTGGTTTTGCCTTAAATAGCACTTCCCTTTATTTTCAGTGCTTTTTTTGACAAAAAGTGCCTCTAGTCAGCCCTAAAATTCATCCAACAAAAAGAAAAAAAGTGTAGCTACTATGTGTAAGTAGTACAACAGCTTTAAATCTTTGGGGATCATTGCAGTGTTATATATGGATATTTTGGTGTGTAATTGCAACTGAATTGAAATATTTAAACAATGAGAGACAAACAGGAAGGAATTGGTTTACAAAATTGTCTTTCTTACAAAAAAATTGTCTTGTCTGTCTTTCATGATGTTCTTTCTAAAAATGTCTCTTTTTAGAAAGATTAGCTTAAGTATCCACAAATTGCAATATAAATCAAGCTAACTAGCCAAAGTTGCCAAAATACACTTCCATATTATACAGCCTGCTTTTACTGCATTTATGCAATGCCAGCAGAGTTGTAATGAGTTGGCTGGCAAAGGTTCAGCTAACTTATCTAAGAAGGAGTTTTGGGCTCTTTTCCTTGAAGTTTTCACTGAGAAAATCTCTTGCGTTTTTGATCACAAATTAGGCATAGAAAATGTGAAGCAAACGCATATCAATTTAGTAACATATGCTTGAGCTCATAGTGAAGAGAAGCATGCAACCTATATGCAAAGACAAAATGCTCCTTCAACAGCAGAGTTGTAGGTGGCAGTCTAAGAAGGAAAAGATGAGAATTTTGTCTGTGATCTAAAGTACAAGGAACCAAAGCAGAACACCAGATTAGAATTCTAAGTCAGAAAGGAAAAGCTAACTTCTAGTCTCTTATTCTCCAGAGGTACATCTGTCTACATTAGAAAAAGTTTATTTGGCTGCTTAACCACAGGTACTGTTGCAGACAAGCTTACCTTATCAAGCAACACATTCTGCCACAAACGGAAGATACTGAGGTAGCTTCTGTCTCTTGCACTGAATGATGTGAAGAAAAACTGCAGAAAAAAACAAAGTAAAACATAAGCTCATGTGTAGCTATTTTCAGGTATCCCAGAATGCGGTCCTTGTATCTTGAATAGCCCAAGGTCATCAGTAACAGCTTGACTCATTTCACATTCAACAAACCTGGGGTCATATTCCTCAGGTTCCACAGTTTGAATCACTTTCAGTGATGATTTTCCCCAATGTCCACACAGTAAATGAAGACACTTGCTGTTCTGGCCATGTGACTACCCTTGGTATAAAGGAAGAGCTCCCTCCTCAACTTAAACACACTTAAATTTTTCCCACAGAAGGTTGAACAAATCAGAAACACATATGCCTGTTTCTCACAGGCCACAGCTATTTCCATTCTTCTGCCCCATAAGCCTTTTACTAACTTTTTCACATAAGATGATGTGAAATTAAAATAATTAAAATAGGAGATCAAATTATATGCATAATTTCAATTATTAAAATATTTCCCATTGGAAAGCTGGGGCTTTTTTAGCAAAGAAGTCTATCTTCCTTGTCAATGAAAGTTAATGCTGGATGAATTGAGAGGGAACAGCCAAATATGATGAATCACAGTTGCTTCCCAAAGAACAGCTCCAGGTTCACAGTGGAAAGCTCTGTTCTTTGCCAAGAATTATTATTTTTCAAGCATTTATAGAAGAACTAATCACAAAGTGTATTACACATAAGACTCTGCATCATGCTTTTTAGTTTTTCAAATACACACTTAAAAACTTCATTTCCCAGCACGTGTTCTGGGGTAAATTTCTCCATTACTCAAAACCCATGACATCACAGTCCTTTTGTTTTCAGTAGTTTTTTTCAAGGAGTACTTGAAATCCAGTGACTTTGATATTTTTCCAGTATGAAGAATACACATTCTGAATTCATGCTTTGAATTAGTTTTCCTTTGAAAAGGTGAGACAAACTTTCACTTTCTGGTTACTGTATCAACACCACTAAGGGATTCTGCAGTCAAACTGGAGACGAATTTGCAAGCAAACGTGCACAGGGACCAAATCTAAGTCTGCCTTCTAATCCAAATCACATTTAAGCATTTGACAGGGAAGTACTTATGCAAATATAGACTAGAACAAGTGCTGTGATCAGGACTCTATCATTTAGCAAGAATATATTTAAAAACAGTTTTTTACCTTCTCTCCTTTTGTTGCTATTTGTATGGCATTTGGAATGAGACGAGCAGTCTTCTCCTTTGTCATGAAAGTTATATCCTTCAAAGCAATAGAAATCTAAGCAGAAACACATTTAATAAGACATATTAAAAATAACTTATGACTAAAAATTTAGAAGTTACAGAACATGCAAGAAGAACTCAAACTAACCCCAAACCCTGGGATGCAATTCAGATGAGATCACAAAGGGAATTACTGTCTCCATTTGCTGCTTTAACAGCAAGCATTTCAAAGTAGAAGCTGAGGTGACTTAAGAGTCATCTCTTCTTTCACATTGGGACTAGGGAAGTAAGTGGATCTTTCTGCTTTTCTTCCACTCCTCCAGCCACAATCCCAACCAAACACAAATCACAGATCTGAAAGTCAATCCCAATCAGAATGCTATACATAAAGCAGGACATAGTCTGTTACCTGATCTCTCTCATCTATCTCACAGATGTTTACAATATAGTCAATTTTCAAAATTTTATTTGCAGTCTAGTCACTGCAAGAAATTCTTCCTGTCTAGGCACATTTGACTTGTGTATTAGTAGTTGAAATGTTTCTGTTTAGAAGAACATGGTCTGACTGGCTGCAAGCTATTTCCTTCCAGCCTACCCCCCCTCTTCTCTTGAATATAAGGCTGTGCTGCCATTCAGCATAGAGAAAAGAGGAAGGTACAGCTCTAACTTGTTTTTTCCTGTGTGAGCAGGAAGTTCTCCACTTACTCCCTCTCTCTTTGCAACAACACAGCCTGCTAATGAGGTCCCAAACTTGGCTCTACCATGGTAGTTGATGAGCTCAGATTGCCTAAAGGTATTGCTGAAGATGTCACCCTGCTAGACAGGCAGAAACAGGTTACCAGGATGTATGCTGTTTTGGATTAAAAAAAAAACAAAACCCAATCAGTCTTTGAGCAGATTATATATTCAAGAGTATAGTTTATTTTTTAATTAATTTTACATCTAAAATAAGACATATTCAATCATCAAATCCATCTGATGAAATTAAGCTTGGTTTTCAATTAAGTATTTCTACAGCCCCTCACGGGCTTAAATACACAAGCTCTTTGTTGTTTGTCCTGTATATTTCAGAGCACTCAAATGTGAGATACTGACTTAAGTTAAGAGCGGTCTCATAGTTCACAGAACATTTTGACCTGTCCATCTGTTTGCTAGGTTATCTTCATTTTCTTATTCACTGTTTCATGTAAGTTCTGCAGCAGATGCAACAACTGCATCTGAATGAATAAATTTAAACTCATTAACCTAATCTGACAGAAATAAAGGGCCAACATATCACAAATATCTATCTACCTTTGCTTGTACTGTTCAAAAGCCATAGACCACAATATGAGAACTTGCAGAAGTCATTTATCAATTCCCTTCAGCTATTTTTAGATGCTGATATTTACATGTAAGGCTGTGTCAAGTAAGGTTTAATACTGGAGAGTTCTGAATAGAGCAACACCACATACCATGTCATGCCCCAGGACTAACAGTAGGAGGTTATGTGTTACATTCCTTTATAGGACAATTTTGCATGGTAAGGAAAGGCAAGTTGTCATTACCAGAACTGTAAAAAGCCAGCTTTAGCATAATTCCTAAACTTTTTATGCTGAATGACAGACTGAACAGGCTTACTTCAGCATTCAGATGCCTCCACTGCTACTCTTATTTTACATAATGAATTTGAATTTCCACTCAGGGATGCAGGCTCTTTCTTCACAGCCCAGAGTTACTAGTATGAGATTGACAGGATGAGATCTGAGAGACTCTAATCCTATATCCTGATAGGATATGGAAAAGGTGGGATTCAAGTGAGCTAAGAGATCTTACTGTGGTCTCCCATCGGAAAATGTTGCTGTGGAAGCAGAGCCAGTTTTCAGAGAGATACAAGCGTCCTTGCAGCAGGATATCCTTCTGGAGCGCACAGGCGTAATCTGTGTACAGAGAGCAAGAGCAAGTCACTCACCCACTGACTGCAGCACAGCTGACCCAAACTTGTTAACTAAAATGAAATGGGTATTACAATACAATAAAAAGCCATTTCTTTCACTTTTAAGAAGTCTACAAAGGCAGACTTGTACTGGCTTGCATCCAGACCATTGCTCTGGGAACAGCCAAAAGCCAGAGTTGATGGTACATCCATGTGAGGACAGCATTCCATCTATGTATTCCATCCCCTGCGTACTATCTTAGGTTTTCAGAGAAGAGGTGTCAGGCATGACCGGGAGTACATGGGAGAAGTATTCATTAGTCAAACTTCAAAGCATCTAAACAAGAGAATACACAAACATTTTATAGTACAACAGATTATACTGTCAACTCCTACGTAACAGTAGTTCATGTTGTAGCAAGATAATAGTATTCTACTAAACAGATCCTAACACTAGCTAAAACTATCTGCAGAGTGAGACACTAAGAGGCAGATTGAAGCTATCCAGTTCTTGAGGCAGGGAGTATTTCCTGAAGTTGACTATCATTTTTATCATTCTGTCTCTGACTGAAACACCCCTATTGAGAAATGGATTTCATCTACAATGTAATTATCCATAATCAGATACCTGCTAATTAAGAACAAGAGCAGAGGATTTAGTTGCATTTCTTAAAAATCTCAGCACTTTCCCAGTTTCAGAGCCTGAAGAGTCAAACAAAAGGAATTTTCAGAAGAACTGCTGCTAGATAATTAAGATGGACCTCTTTGGGGAGGTCCAACCTAAAGAAGGCTACCTAATGTACACAAAATAATCAGAATGTATGTATTGATACAATATATATTAGTGATTTTACTCTTAGAGGTATTTAATACCTTTATATCTGGTATTGTCTGAGCCAGAATTTTGTTTTTGTGTACTACAAGAACATAATTAATAGAGTTCTAGTTCAAATATCAAGAACTTCAGGAGTCCCCAACATCCTAACTTCAAGCTAAATCTGCATTTACAGAAGCTTTTATTATGATTTTTAAAATTCTCTACCATTTTCCTCCTCAAATAATCAAGCAGAAATAAATTTTCTTATAACTAGAATGAGTCATGTATACAAGCCCTTGGAGATGTAACTACAAATAGAACTACAGAAACTTAAATCTAAAGAACTAAGTGCATGTTTGAGAACTGTCAGATACCAAAATGCTGACAGAGGAAGGCAACAGGAGTTTGAAGTTAAGGACTTGAGGAGAGCATTACTAAGAAGCTCGCATCTGACTTCTGCGTTTTTACGAGAGGGATTCAGACCTACAGAGGTCATCACTGGGCAACTCATGAGCAATCCCACTCTGACCTACCTACACAAAAGAGAATATCAAAACAGATGGAAGAGATTAGCATTTCTCCTTTTAAGTTTTCAGAACTGTAACTTAATATGTTGCTTGAAAACAACATTTTCAGGTAAATTAAAATAGCACTCCTTTAAGCTCCCATTTAGAAGGTTTAAGTAATTCCCCTCATTTTAAGAAAATACTATTTTCTATAATACTTATATACAGTGCTCAGTAGAGTGGAATAGTTACTTAATTTTAACAGTTGATTTAAAAACAGAAGCAGTAACAATTCTTTCAATGAACAGCAGCAAGCAGTGGTTTCTTGGAGCACTGCAAAGCCTGGACCTAGTTTCTCTACACCAAGCAAAGGAAGAGCTCCTTGCTTGGAGGATGCAAAAAGCCCTTTCAAGAAAACACTGCTTTTTATGGGGTAAAAGAAATTTATATGAAAGTAGTGGCTTTGCTTCTTATGGAGCAGATTGAGATTAACCCATTACTAAATCTTTCTCTAAATCCTACACAGTCCCTTTGAAACTGCGCTTCAGAGTTTGCTCCATGGCTTTCTACTGATTGGATGAATCAATCCAATGGAAGGAGAAACATCAAAACAATGCTTTGAAGTAATATCCTTTCCTTCTGTTTTACATCCCTACTGAAGTATTTTAAAAATGCATAAGGCATTTCAGAGGATACCTGCCTCTTGTGACTGGAAAAAGACACTGGGATTTAACTGCTTCAGAGCTGTTGCTTGCATACTCCAAGCATACACTAAACAGCCTCTCAATATTCACTTCCTTAAAAGTTGCATAAAATGAGAGATGAACTTGAAACAGTCACAACGCCACTTTTGTATGAAAATATACAGTGTATTTGTTACATAAATACAACACAGGCAGGTGATGAAGGGAATAAGGTGCATCACTATGCAAAGGAGGTAGGGGTACATGCTTGCCTTCTTTGGATTCTGCAGTGGAGTGAAACAGAGCTGGAAAAGGAGTATTTCAGTACTGAGAAAAGTAATGCATCATAGTTTGATATTCTGTGACACCTGCTTCTTTTCTCTCCCATTCATCTGAAAAATAGTCTTTTAAATTACAACCACCCATGTGTCACTCTGTCCCAGGAGTCACATTAATCAAGGTGCCTTGGGAAAGGGTATTAGTTCCAGGGAGCAAGGGGAAAGCTTTTTCTAAGGATGATCTACCTAGTTAACAGGGTCTCAGAAACAACATCCCTTTTTTTTATTTTTCCCACAAGGCAGGCAGTAGAAGAGAGGAGTATGGACCTGTCTTTCCTTGAAAGTATTTTTTGCTAGTTCAAAGACAGAAGAATAGGGAGTTATCACCTGTAGTCAGAATTTGCCATAAAACACACAAAATGCTTTGACATGACTGTAATCTGAAGTCACCAAACAGAAGACAAAGACTTTTTCTGTGATTACTTCTTACCTACTATGAGTCTCTCTGAGTCTGGCAGATGAGAAAACTGTCTCTTGAATTCCTCACTCCTATATTTGTAAGTGGAACTTGAGAGCTGCAACAAAGAACAGTAAAAGGTTATGCAAACAGATTTATTTTCAGCCATCAACTGTCTTCACACTGGATGTGTAATTTTATCTTGAAGAACAAATGAACCTCAGAAGAGCAATAAAGAATAGGTGGTATCTAAATGTGATCATCACTGTAACTTTATGCTTACTTATGTAAGAGTATTTATTTGGCATAGGCCAAACTATTCCCTGTATCAGGCCAGATGCCAGTCACAAGGCATTACAATGCTATGATAGCAACCTGCTCCACCCATAAGGGGATGAGAGCCCTTCTGGGACTAAATATTCTAGCACAGACCAAGTGAAAAGGCAGCAAGGCCATAACACAGAGATGACAGAAAAAATCAAGCCCTCACAGAGGCCAATAGAACAAAAGGACCCAACAGAGAACATCAATGTCTGCTTGGAGTACTACTTCAGGAATACTTCAATGCACTGGATTTTTCAACAGTTGCTGTAACTAGAACTGCAGGAACAAAGAAAATAGTTTCCTCCAGTAAGAATGAATAGCAGCATCACCATCACTTCTTGATTTTCTGTCATGCTCTACAGTTCACCCCATTTTAAAGAGATCACTGTCTATGATTTTCTTAAGATTCAAATTGGGCAGTAAACTCACAGCAGAGGACTATCTCAATGGACTTTAACTCCTTATTCCTATAAACAAATGTACCTGCTCCCATACAAATGAAGAGCTTCAGCACCTTCTCCAGAAAATATTCTGCATAGAAGTCCTACTATTCATTTTCAGTTGTAAGAGGATCATATTTTTTTTTCCTTAACGGATATTGGACACTTATTTTAGAGGCAGTCTTAACTAAATGCTGTATAAGGTCATGCACTCAGCTGGACTAAAACTATTACAGGAAGAAATCACTTTTAAGTGTTCCTAGAACCAGGTATAAATATACTACAAAAGCCTCTTTCACACTTTTTTTTTTTACCTTTCTAAAGATCTTAAGCACATGGATACTATTCTCTGCTTGAGCCCCTGTATTACTCCAAAACTTGACATTCACCATTAAACCCATCTCCACCATAAGATTAGTTTCTACTTATATTTAGGATGGAGGAAGAAGGAAGAAAGGAGGCAAAGAACTACTTTTGATTGTATGACCTTACTTTTGACACATTCCTGCAGCATGTTAGTTGGCCACTATTCTTTCACTATATTTGTGCTTGTCCAAAAAACCCCAGGACAAAACTAGACTTATCTTCAGCTTGATGGCCTTTTAATAGACTAGAACAAATGCACTGTTCCCACCTCCTCAAGATTCCCACATTTTGCTCTTTTTCACTGAGGACATTCCTGCTTCTTGCAGTTCAAAAGTTCCCTGAACACCACCCTACAGCTTAGATCTTACAATTGTCTGGCATCTTATACTTGAGAACTGAGCTCTTAGGCCACAGGAAATGCAAGTTCAAGTGCAACCTCAAAGTCAAGTGTTTAAGTGCATGTAACATGTGAGAGAGCAAAGTTGCTCTGACACAGATCAGCTCTTAAAAAATAAGTCAATTTACCTTCTACACCATAAATAAAAGGAAGTCTATATGTTTGACCTCTGTTTGAGTACATATTTGCTGTCCACTGATATTCTGAGCATTGTAATGCAAAAAGGCAGCAAGGGATGGAGACAGAAAATACATCCACCCCTCCCCTTTTGAGAAAAGCAAACATGGAAGGTTTGAGTGTAGCTAAAGAGAAACATGTTAGAACATGTCTCCTCTAAACTGTAATGCCTCCAGTTATATTTCAGTTATTTCTGTGATTATAAAAACAACATTCTAGGAAAGCATGTAATCTGCTGAAGTAGGTGGGCTATGGTTTCTTGGCCTGCAACATCCAGCCCTGAAATGCACACTTTTAACTGATCATCCAAAAAAAGCATCAAATATCTGCACTGCTTAGAAGAAATCTAGTTCTTTGCAACTACTCTGGAAAGAGACATAGGGAAAAATGAAAATTTAACTCACACCTGTCAAGTTTCCACCTGTAGTTCCTGAGTCCCTATGGTTTACACACAGTCCTACCTCAGCTGACTGAAGTCTGGACTTGTTTTGCCAACACCAGCATACAGGGAATAAAAGAATTCGTTTGCCATGAGAGGAAAATAAAAGTCACAATTTGTGAAATCATGATTTAGGAAGCAATGCTTTTAAGGAGAAATGTAGTTTCTCAAACATGATGTATACAAGAGATAAGAGCTACACTGAAGTTCAGCATCTTTGTGGTTATAAGACAAAAGGAATCAAAGAAAAGGGGAGCATCACAGTGTCACAGACATATTTATATTAGTGCCTGAATCAGCCAGTTCAACAGCTCCAAGAATCCAGACTCAGGATACTGAGGTTTACTTAGAACTGAAATTTTTCTAGAGCATAAAACCTGTTACAGCTTGTCTTAGAAACCCCTGCTGGCATTTAGAAGCGTTTTCATGAGTGACTGGACTATAAGAAAACCTTATTAATGGTAGATTTCTACTGAGCTCTTAGGACACCTAGGCAGAGTCTGCTCTGAATCCTTATCTAATCAGCAGAAAAATGTCAGCACATTGAAACTTTTGAACCTTATCTTTTTTGCATGAAAACTAGCTCACTTAAATATGTACTTCTTACCTACTCAGTAGGTGGCTTGATGATTGAGAAGAGATCCCTCAACAGACTTGGGAAACAAGAGGGGCAATTTTAACACTATTGGCAATTTTAATTTCCTTAAAGTGAAGAAAACAAGACATTTCTATGAATACAGTATCTCTTCTAATCTCTACTATAATGTCCAACATGTGGCAGTATTTGAAGCAGATTGCCACCTCTGAGTTACAAAATCTAGCACCAAATATAAAAAGAGGAAAGGCATAAAACAGGTTGTAGCATGGCACTCACAAGATGAAAACAGCAACTTGTTTTTAATACATACACATTTCTAAGTTTAATTATAAATCATCAGGCAAACACTTGGCCTGAGGGTAATCTTAGGCATTTATGGTCATGCTATATTTAATCACCAAGGAAATTATTAAGTGCAGCCAACAACTTGTTAGCATTTTTCATCTGAAGCCACAATATATATACCAGAAACCTGTAAAATAGCATAAACAGAAAACCATTTTCAGTGACAACCAAGAAGTTTTACAGAAGACAGTTATGTAAGAACCAGATATTGGAGACACATAACCAAATGATTCTCATACCTTGTTTGGAAATGGATGGTTCAACTATATAAAGTCATGTTCCAGAAAAACATATGTAAACTTAAATAGAACTAAGCTGAGTTATTTATAGGACAGAAGCCTGTTAAGAAAAACAGATTCCCTGCACATTTACATCTTCAAAGTGTAGCCACTGCAAACAATTTGAGCCATTTAGCAAACTGCAGAGGAAAATTAAGCAACAATTTCTCCCAGGAGTACATCAAAAATCCTAATCATTAGGAAATTATTTGATTGCAGATATCACTAAGTATGCAAATAAGCAATCAACTTCAGCAGAATGGTGTGCACATTTTTTAACAATCACTAACGATGGCAATAATTCTGCATTTGTTTTGTTAGTGTTTTCCCTTTGTTTTGAGACACTACAAAACCCAGGTAACCTGACAATTTGCATTCTACAGTTGTGACATGCAGCTATGAATTCAACAGCTGAAATCACAGGTAAATTGAACTTATCAGTAGGGTAATAACTCTCATATCACCTAATTTCAAGAGATGCCTCCCACTGAGCTTCAGTCTCAGAATCAGTTATCACCACAGGCTCAGGGTCCCAGAATCAAACAAGTCTATAAGGAAGCTGCCCAAACTGCCATTTCTTTTATGCTCAGAAGCCTCACTTAACCATCAAAATATGGCCCATGGAACTTAAGGCTTTGCTCCTCTGTCTAATATGTAAATCCAAGCCACTAACTCTAAACCCCAAATAAAGATCATCTGACTATTCCCCAAAGACCTGTACTTTCCTATGACGTTTCTAGACATGGTCAAAAACAAATTTGGAGGTATTAGTGAGGTTAGGATAAAAGAACATTTTAACCTTACATAAACATATTAAAACAAACATTAAGTATTCTGGCAAAAGCTGTTGCATTTCTACTGAATAATAAAACCCTTCTTAGCATCAGGAGAAAGAAAAAGAACACAGTCTCCAGAAAAACAACACCCAGTCAGAGAGAAATCTGGATTTTATACAAGACTCCTCTATACTGCAAATGTTCTTTAAATGCACCTGATTAGGGAAAAATAGGGAAGTAAAAGTAGGGAAAAATATTAATCCAAAGCCTACCACCCCCCCCCCCCCCAAAGGAAAAAAAACCAACAAAAAACCAAAAAAACCCCAAAAAGAACCTAAACAAAACATACTGAGATCCCACTTTCAGTGAAATTAAAGACTCACTAGGGGAGATGAGAACCAAGTTAACAGCCCTGAATAAAAGCCTCATTTAACAGTGTAAGGGAGACAAACTTGACACTTCACATATTCCAGGACAGATTCAGGCAGACTCCCTCATTATCACAGGAACACTTTCTATGGCACACTGAGATGATCTCTCACCTGTAAAAGGTGCCAGGTCTGACAAGCCTTTCCATCACAGAAATGTTGATCCCACTGCAGCCATTCCTGCAGTCCGCAAAAGTTCATTAATCATCCAATCTAATCTACAATACACAAGCCACAACTCTCTGGCTTTAAAAGTAGAGCTGAAATGACCAAATTTCTCTTTGGAAAAAACCAAAATATCTATTTTACCTTTTTCCATCCAGAGTAACCTAAAGTTACTCTGGATGGAAAAATCCATCTTATCTATGGATAGTTCTTCTGCTAGTATATTTGGTTAACTTCATCTTTACTTTGTGAATTATTTTTAGATGGTAAGCAAGTTACTCCATATCTCCTTCTGAGGTAGGAATTAAGCTTCTCAAGCCTATCAGCAAAAAGATTGTTCTTTTTCAGACTTATTCTTCTGGCTTTTCTGAATCCTCTCATTTTC